AAATAATATGAAAATTAATTAATTAAAAGAAACTTAAATTCTAAATTAATTTTAAATAAAAAATAAAAATAATTAAACCTAAACCTAATTATTATTTATTAAGAAAAAGAAATTAAATTTGTTAAGAAAATGTTTTTGTCTTTTATCTTTATAAAGAAAAATAAAATAAATAAGTATTAAAAAATAATAATAAAAACATTTTTTGGATTTTTATTAATAATAATAATAATAATAATACAATAAAGAAAAATGAAACAAAAATAAAATAAAAAAAGAAAGTGAAATGAAATGATAGAAAATAATTGGGTCAGGTGTGCAAAAGTAATAGAGGGGTCAGAAGTTAGCAAAAAGACAACGCCACTGCTTGGAGGCCCATGCGCGCCTGCTTGTGACATAAAAGAGAGAAAATGTGAAAAATATGGAAAGTGACAGCGCGGGGGCTTGAACACACGCCATGAGCATGAAACGCGCGCTGCCTTACCACTGGGGTGGCTATACACCCGTTAACATAAACAAAACAACAAATACATAACATAAGTCAAGTCCTGAAAATGACTTCATCTTCAACCTCCAACCATGGTTCATGTAACTTTCTCATTTCTCAACAAAAATGAAAGATGCAAACATGAAAGTTGCTCCATTTTTCTATACGAATCCAACCACATAATATCATAAGCTATAAATCAAAGATGAATGAGAATTTCTAAAAGTACCAAATTCTGACCTAACTTTTTTCATAGATTCAAACCTAAAATTCTCTAAGCTCAATCAATATAAATGAAATCTATGGACATGTACAGTTTCAGGGCAATAATGTCTATATTTTATCTTCACAAATACAAACCTAACAATGCCTAAATGAAAAGATAAAAGTTCAGAAATGATACCTCAAAACTTGAAATCGTGAAATGCAAATGAGCTTGATTCAAGGTGCTGCAATGATCAGGTTAGCTTCCTCAAGTTCTCAGGAAGCTAATGCAATGATTAGCTTGAGAAATGGATGGCTGGAATGGCCTGGAGAAGTCAAGGTGCAAGCTTCAGTTTTTAAAAATGGAGGATGATGAAGATGGAGTTACAGAAGTGTAGCAGGGTGTGGGATTGTTTATGTGTGATGTTTAGAAGCTTTAGGAACCAAAAGGCCAAGAAACGCACGAGTAGATTTGAAGATTGGGTTCAAAACTCAGAAATGACAAGTTTTGACGTGTTTTTAATAATTCTCTATTTTAGGGTGTTTCAGGGCTCAAGCATTCGTTCTTTAGCTTGCAAATAGTGCATGTATTTATGGGCAAGAGGTTTCAAGTGTTACAACAACTCAGAATTTGAATTCTCAAGTTGTGGCAACTTTGCTTGTTTTTGAAGTAAAAATGAAAAAAATCTTCCCAAGACTTGTACCATGCTATCTAGAGTGGTTACAAACTTTAAACATGTTCTTCTGACTTTGTAGAGGAAGCTTGTGCAGGAGGAACAAGTTAGAGGCTCAAGAATTGACTTTGTGCAAAAAAGCCACTTTTCCAAAATGGCAATGTTGCCTTTCTTCCTAAAATCGTATTAAGCATGGGCAATGCATTTAATGCTTGGGTTAAAGCTTCTAGCAGCTTTGTAGAACATTAATTATGGAGTGACAAACAAGTTTGAGGCCTGCAAAGCAAATATTATGCAGCCTAGCATGGATTTGGTTCATGTTCATCCTAAAAATTTGCCTTGTAAAACAAGAATGAAACCCTAACTTCTTGCCTTCGACTCTCCTTGCTCAAGTATGATCTCAATGCGTTCTTGGACATTTTGAAAATCTTGTAACATCCTCTACAACCTTCAGGTTGGACATTTTTGAAAATTCAATTTGGAACTAGGTGAAAAGTTTCCATGAAGTTAGGTCAAAATTCTGCCTAAACTAGGGCAAAATTTCACTAAGTCTTCAAGTTTCATGAGCATGTCTTCACAAAATCATAACTTGAAATCCAATCATTTATAGAAAAAGTTCTTCTCTACAATGTTTTAGATCTCATTGAAATCTACAACTTTCATGTAGGAAGTTTCCTTTGAATCATCTTGCATCATGGTGTAAATTTGGCATAAAGTTATGAAAAAAACATGAATTTTCAACACTTAGAAAAATTCTAAGTCTTGGAAATTTTGACTTTTAAAAATGAAATCTTGACTTTTTGATTTCTTGATGAAAAGGTTTCATATTTTGACATATTTTGATGAATTGTAATTTTTTAAACTTGATTTTGGTCAAAAAGTCAAAGTTTGACTTTTCAGTGTATAGTTGATTTTTCATCAGTTGACTGAGATTCAACTATCAATCAATTGAACTTGAGAAATGTTTTGAGCCATGCCCTTAGGTTAAAATGAAGCATTTGAATCCTTGAGATCATGTCTTAAACCAATAAGTCATTTGTTAGGTCAAAAATCAGAAATTGAACCTTCCTAGTCAAAACCCTAATTTTGACTATTTTTCCCTTTTGATGATCTGATCAAATTTCTTTAGGAATTGTGATCCAAAATTGATCAATTGACATATATAATTTCATGATGTTGATATGGACCAAAAATTATGAAGTTTGACTGTAAATTGACCACAATTAACTTTTTTCCCAATACAATTGATTTTAGGTCAACTGATCAACTAACTGAGCAAAAATGTGATCCAAAACTTGAAACTTGACACGAGCAATATTGATGGTCCAAAATGATCCATTAAAGTCATATGGGTCATTAAAAGTCTATTTGTCCTTGTGCAAACCCAAGCCCTAATTTGAGTCAACAGTGCTTGAGGAGGTGTCTTGAGCTGATCAAACTTTGTGTAGTCTTGAACCAATGGAGATTTTGTGAGAGATTAACTGAGAAATGAGAGGGCAAATTTTGGGGTAAAATACATAGCATGGATGTGTCGACTCATACTGAAGCATGATCGTTTTTATGATTCTTTACTTAAGTATGTGTCGATGCAAAGCTCTTTGTGTCGACTCATAAAAGTGTTTTATGTGTAAAACACATTCTTAACTTTTTTAAACATGTTATACTATATTTTTACAATGAACACATATAGATAAAAGCATTTTTAACATTCATTGATTATTTTACACATATTTGCTATCATTCAAAACTAATTATGTGAGGGGGTTAACACAAATTATTCATTACATGAAGGCATAAGTAGAACAAAATGCCAATGTCCTTACAAAAGGGCATAACAGCCTAACAAACCATAAGGACGGAAAATGTCAATGTCATTACAAAAGGGCATAACAGCCTAACAAACGATAAGGACATAAACCATAACTTAATGCCAAAGTATCAAAAGGACATAATAGACGGTACAAACATAAGACTACTTCTTCTTAGATTTCTTCATTGCACGTTTAGAACCACTTCCTTCTTCTTCTTCTCGCAAATACATAGGTTGTCTGGGGTTTGAACCTAGCCTTTTGATTGATTTTTGAAACCACTGGAGTTTTATTCTTTCACTGGACCTCTTTCTCACTGGCCTGACATCTTTCACTTTCACTGGAACACAACAATGAACACATGCTTATTCTGAAAACATTTGGGCAAACATTCAAAAACTAAGATTTCACTGTATGTAACACTAAACGAACAAACAGCTGAAAGAACATACCTTATCAGCATCAATAGAAGCGCTTCCTTCCCCGTGCTTCTTCAGTTGACTTGAATGTTTTGCTTTCTTGAAGTGCTTCTTCTTCTTCGCTGCTAATTTCTTTCCCATGGTGAGCTTGCTAATTTTATTTGATATTGAACCCTAGATTTTCTAGGGGTTAATCAGAAGACTAAATATTTGTAATAGACACAAACATTCCAGCATAGCTTTTAATAACACAGTCAGCAAAGAATCTAATGCCACGTATGAAACTCATATAGAATCTTGGGATACAGGATTTTCTGTTTGAGAATCTATATTTGTTAAGGGACAGAAAAAAAAATTTTAATAGGGGTAAATCAAAACTTTCTACTATTGCAAGGGGGTAAAGTATATTTAACCCAATAAATTATGACGGGATAGTGTTATACATTTTAGATTTGTAAAATTTGTAAATTTATAAACTTGTAAATCTAAAATATATTTAATAAAATTTTAGAATTAACTCATTTGGATTCAACTGGAGTTTATTAACTCATATGGATTAACGGGTAGATGTGAACGAATCTATGAAATATCAACCGTAGATTGTTCATTTTAATGTCCATCTTTTAAAAAAAAAATGAAGTTGTTAAATATAATTGAAGTTAGAAAATCGATTGTACGATTTATTATAAGTACGGATCAATGCTTTAAAAACAAATACATATTATTAGTCTATATTTGTAACTATGTGAATGTTAACCAATTAAAAAATAAATTCAAACTTTATAAATAATAGTTTGATAAACGTGTAATGTAAACTCATACCAGACTCGTACAGTAGCACGGATTTCTTAGTAGTTTTTCTATAAATACAATACTTGCACGTTATTCTCACAAAACACACTCAATCAAACACCATTTTTATCCATTGCTTTACTTTAAGCATTTCTATTATTAGTAACCCAAAATATCTAAAATCTACATTCAACACTAGTTGGAGAGTTAAGAAACCCAAAATTGAAATGCACATTTCCTTGTTCAACAAAATAGCTTGAAGAGAAATAAAACCACATTTAAGAATTATTCCAAGTTTGACAACAATAATAAAATAGAAGACAAATTAGAAGGAATCTTATTATTGCCGAATATTGAAAAGGTTCACGAGGGAGACAGACAAGTGAAGCAAGCAACACAATCTCGTGGATATGCAAGTCGAGACAAAAATGCACGCAAAACATGCATCCAAGTGCAAGATAAATCATGTTTTTTTTCTTAAACGACATAACCAACCTTTGTTTGTTTGTTTCTTTAATGTATAGACTTTAAATTAGCAACTTGAAGCAACCATCAGCATAGTGTACCATAAGCAAGCATAAAAGGCACCACTCTCTTATTTGGCTGCATTGCACATAACATGAGTTCTACGTATGTTGTTGCATTACAAGTTGTGTTATCTTGCATCTGTTTGGTTTTGGCAAATTCTGTTGACTTCCATTATCCGGCAGTTTTCAACTTTGGTGATTCAAACTCAGACACAGGCGAACTTACTGCAGCTAAGGGATTTAAACTCGCCCCGCCTTACGGACAAAATTACTTCAAGACTTCATCTGGGAGATTCTGTGATGGCCGTCTCATAGTCGACTTCTTAAGTAAACTTCTAATCCTTTCGTGAAAGTTTCTTATTGTATTGTAATTACTATATGTTCTGGTCTCTGGATAGTTCCATTCGACTTGATTTTGGTTTATCTTTGCAGTGGATGCGATGCATTTGCCATTTTTAAATGCCTATTTGGATTCAGTGGGTTTACCAAATTTCCATCAAGGATGCAACTTTGCAGCAGCAGGTTCGACTATCCTTCCAGCAAATGCAGCGTCGATTAGTCCATTCGGCTTTGGCGTTCAAGTATCTCAGTTTCAGCTATTCAAAGCCCGGGTTCTTGAATTTCTTGCAGGTACATTACTTCAGTCTCAAAACCAAGTTTGTATGTTATCTGATCCATTCATGCCTAATGAAAATTATAACAATAATTTTCAGGCAAGAAATTTCATAAATATGTCCCAGCCGAAGAATATTTCCAGAAGGGGTTATACATGTTTGACATAGGGCAGAATGATATTGGCGGCGCATTTTATTCAAAAGACTTGGACCAAATACTTTCTTTAATTCCAACAATTCTACTGGAATTCGAAAATGGAATAAAGGTTGGTGACAACAGTGTTTAACAAAATAACAATAACATTGTTACATTCTTGAATTCCAGAGTAGAAAAATATTTTTGCTGAAATTAACATTCATTCTCTTATTTGTTGAGATAGAGACTGTATGACAGTGGCGCGAGGAATTTTTGGATACATAACACGGGTCCGCTGGGATGCTTGGCTCAGTATGTTGCCACCTTGGGCAAAGATACAACGAAGCTCGGTGAACAAGGATGTCTTCGAGCACACAATCAAGCTGCTAAAGCCTTTAATCTACAACTGCAAGAATTTTGTACTAAATTGCAGGGCCAATATCTAGATGTAAATGTTACATATGTTGATATCTTTACTATAAAATATGACCTCATTGCAAACTCCTCAAAACATGGTAAGTCTAACTCGCAAAATTTCGCTATTGCCTCATCAAAATTTCACCAGTGTTAAATTTGTGACTATTTGATTACAGGGTTTGAACAACCTATTATGGCTTGCTGTGGATATGGAGGTCCGCCGTTGAACTGTGACAGTCGCATTTCTTGTGGACTAACAAAGATCTTGAACGGGACTACAATTGCAGCAAAAGGTTGCAATGATAGTAGTGTGTATGTAAGCTGGGATGGGACTCATTACACTGAGTCTGCAAATCAATACGTCGCATCACAAATTCTCACTGGAAACTATTCCAATACTCATTTGTAGTAGAAGGTGCCATTCCTTCTCTAGCTCAAGTTCTAATCCAACTACTGATTGTGTAACCTCGAATGACATTCAAGCTCTTTAAACAAATCTTATTTAAGACTGAATCAATTGACATTATGCAAAGTTTTATGCTTGTTTGGAGTTGTATGACACATAACAGGCGATAAGCCGATAACCTTTTTTTTGGGTAGGTACACGTGATAACATGAACCCTTCTGATAACTGATAAATGTTTGCATCGAGTACGTAAGAACTGGTATATAAAAATAGTCGAACAAACATATTTTCGAATTACATTTACAAGTAAAAAAAAAAAATCTGATCTTATTTGTCATTTTTCTCAAACTCAATCGTAACATGAGCTCGTTTACTGGCTTACAGCTGCACATTATACATCTGAATTCAAAGATTGATAATTCGGAAGACAGATCTAGATGTGTGGCCATTATTCCCTTATTTTTTGGCTATATAAGCATAGTATTGTACCATAGGAACAACAAATGCAATGACCAACAAACCTCCAACCACAAGAGAGAATTGTCCGCGCTTCTCATCTGTCTCTTGTTTTGATTTGAAGTTAGACTCCCGTTTGTCGTCTTTAACTAACGGCCCGCCAGGATCTGGAAGTCCGTCAATGGCAGCAACTAGCCGTTTAGCCGTGCTATAAATCGCTTCGTTGTACTTCTCATCCGTAGCCAATACTGCATACAAAAACCAGACATACGGATAGTATTGTGCCCCTAAGAAATGATCACAACTTCTACTTATTGATTGAAACTTCAAAAAATATATGCTAAACTGATTGGGACCGTGTGCAAACATATTCATCATTATAGTTATGGTAGCCCAACGAATCGATACAAAATCCACTAGCCTAAAGGAAGTACCTGGAAGATTCTCTGAAACGGTAGCATCGAGGATTTTTTCTCCGACGGCTTGGACAAAAGCAGGTCCACCAGTAACTGCTCCTTCTTTCTGACTTGTTACAAGAACCACAACACCCTTTTCATTTCCCTCCTCCACAGAAGGATACCATCGCTCCAAAATTTGGTCAGCAAACTCAAAAGCATCAGCTTTACTCTGCAACCAAAACCAACCACATAAAACACTTATGAAAGAATTTATGGAAACAGATTATAACATGTCTATAAATTGTTTTCAGCTTATTTTCCTAAGCAGTTATATGAAAAACATTTATGCTATAAGTACTTATTTGTCCAAACACGGCCTTCATAGTATCAAATTAAGCAAAATGACACATGATTATGTAACTAACCGTGAGTTTTCTGAGTGTAATAAAATTGATGTGAAAATTCTTCCTTGATTCCAAATCAGACAACAACCGTTTCAAATCAGACTTGGTCACCCTACTAAGAACTCCAGCATCATCCACCACATATGAATCTTTGGCTGGCCTCTCATTGATCACATCAAATTCAGACGCCAATGCATTGCCACTATGCAGAACTGGGCTGAAGTTAAGTGCTAAGGTGATAGCTAAAGCTGCAAGACCCTGTTGAGCATGAGAGAACCAAGATGTTGATGAAGGAAGGGATGGTGGTTTTAGAGATAAAGTTTGATTCTTTTTGAGAGATGAAACAATGGGTTTGTAAGGAAATGGGGAATTTGGTTTGGGTTGAAGGGAAGGTGAAGGTTTGATGTTGAGAAGTGGAGAGAGGGAGTTGGGAGGAAAAAGGGTTCCCATGAGGAAGATGAACAAGGGTTGGAGTGAGGAAAGGTGAAGTTGTTCTTCCTATGTTGTTCCACATCATGATTTTCGTGATGTACTTTGTTTTGGTTCGGATTTTGAGTGGTCTATGTTTGTTGGATGTGTTTGGAAGTGGATAACGTCTAGTAGCCATGTGGGTCATTTTCAATTTTCCCTCTTTATTCATAAAATTAAATAAATAAATATACTTCACTTCATCACTAATTCCAACATACAAAAAATTATTATTAATTTGAACCGGATACCGCGTATAAATTTTGAATATGAGATCTCGTATATGTGACATGATGCCTCATATATGCAAGGGATCACGAGAATACACCGAAAGCTATGCAGTCTAAATTTTCACTATTTAACTTTTTAAAATTAATTTAATTAATATACTATAAAAAACATTAATGATTTAGATTTCACTGGACTAAAAACCTCACGAGAGAGGATCTGTTTCCTATATGTGAGAGTTTTTGGAGTTTCTAGTGAATCATTGTATCGGTGTAATTGAAAATCGGAAGAGATCATAAGAGACAGGACGAACGCACACGCTTCACACACTGTCATTTCTAAGTTGTATGTTTATTAGTTCGAGCGCCCCTCTTTTGGATATGATGCCTCTTCTTCGAATACGTCGCCTAGATCTTTAATGTCTTCATCCATAACTCGCGATCGTACGTGAAACGTGTAGTGGGTCAGCAAACATTACATAGAGGACCGTGAAATTTAACTACACTCTCTAGATTTCAGAGAATCAACTACCCATTCTCAAAGTGGTTGTTATATCCTAGGAAGACTTGGGTCCGAGTCCAGGTCCAGGGGATTATAAATATATCAATATCGCAATAGACAAGAGGACAACTAAATAAACATAAATGCATAGATACAGGAGTGTCTCACCCTCGTGTGAGCTCGCTCTTAACCCTACAACAAACCATAATGTCTCTAACATTCCTTAATCACTAAGGATTGTCACATATTTGTACTTTTAGCAACTATAATTGGCGTCCATTATGGGCCCAATAAAACTCATCTGGGCCACCATCACATCATTCAATCAAATTATTATCCTCATGTTCATCCTCTCTGTCCATATTTGAGAATAAAATGACAATGACTATGACCAACGTAGAATCTAATGGTGAGTAAAGTGTCATAGTAAAGGTGTGCACTACTATGGATGATATTTGTCACCATAACCAAACCATGGAGAATAACGTCCTTCATATCCAACAGTGCTAACATGAGACATACATGATGGGAGAATTGGAGGTATTAGTTCCCCAACCTCTATCGGATGAAATATGGGAGATGCCCGTCCCATAGAACTTCAACCTATCATCATTGGCTATATGTAGCCTCCATCAATGCTCAGATGGTCATTGTAACACCCCATTTTCCCATATGAATATTTATAATGAAATATACGACAAATGCATTAGAGTTCACAATGGGATGCCACATAAATCATAAAATCTATAAAGTTCTCAAAATACTTTATTACTTCGTGTATCTAAAAATGGTTATTCGACAGCGGAAAATCAACATAAAAGTAGTTCATTGGCATTCTAGCTTTAACAAAAATCCAAACCCACAATACGTGGTCCATCATAAGTTTAAAAGAAAATGTGCAACATTTGAAATTATGCAAAATAAAATGAAAATCCCAAATCCCGTGTTACATATCAGAGCGACTCCTAAGACTCGATCTGGTAACATTACTTCAAGCACTACTCGGGTACCTGATTATCTGTACTCCTGAAGAGTACAGACACAACAACACAAAAGGGGTAAGAATTTCATTCAATAATTACACGGTGAAATAAAACATGCTAAGGAGTAGTAAATCACAATATACAAAAAATTCATCACAAACAACCATCATCACATCATACAACATCAATTCAGTGTTTATGCAATGCAATAGTCCTACATCAACATGCATATGGTACCATCAAGGTATAAGCCTTCAACTCAATGCCAATTGGGCAATAACAGAGCATAAGCCCTCAACACAACGCCAATCCAGGCCAACATCAGGGCATAAGCCCTCATCCATGAATGCATGCAATATGAACATGCAACAACGTAAAATCATACACCCACAAGGCATAAGCCTTCATCACCATGGAAATTTAAGCCGTCCACATCATCCTCATCATAATCACCAATATTGTCTCATATCGACATCGTCAGCAAAAGAACATCACAAGAAAATAACCCACTATTTCAGTATAACAACGTGAAATCATACAACCACAAGGCATAAGCCTTCATCACCATGTAAATTTAAGCCATCCGCATCATCCTCATCATAATCACCAACATTGCCTCATACCGGCATCATCAGCAAAAGAACATCGCAAGAAAACAACCCACTGTTTTGGTGTAACAACGTGGAATGATTCCTATTTTAACTTAGTTACTAGAATTATCCTTCTAAATCTCATCATATGTACTCATATAAGCAAAGCATCATCATCATATCATCATATAAAACAGAATCATCATATTAACACCATATCATCATCATACTTCATTACAACAAAATATCACAGCAATTCAACACGGGGAAACTAATTCTATCCTAACTTGGGTACTATAATTATCCTTATTATTATTCATTTTACTCCTTATAAATATAGTTCATCGCGTTATCTATCCAACCCTTCGAACGACACCTCAAATGGAGTTACGGTTCAAAAGTTATGGTCGTTACAAAAATCTATCAAAAATTGGATTGCTTGAGTCGACGCATAGGTATTTTGTCTACCTCGAGTATGCTCAAGTCGACCCAATAAGTCGACACATATTGAGTCTTGAACCTGCATGAGTCGACGTATGACCTCTTTGAGTCGACACATGTTGTTTTGTGCTGAAGTTTTCTGCGATTTTATGCAATTTCACTATCTTATAGGTCCTAAAACATCATCTAATCATAGGTAATCATGATCTATTATCATCCTATGTTTCTACATCAATTATACATCATTTGGGCATTATTACTCATCTTATGTTTCATCAAATTCTCATCCAAAATCCTCAAATCCTAATTCTCATTACTTATAGGTTCTAGATTGAGGTTTTATGCAACAATCATCATAACAACGCAACCACAACAACAATCACAATATAGCATCACAGATCCATGTATAATCATATACAATACATCAATACAATCAAACCAAAAAAATTATGCATCAATCATATAAAACAACCTAAGAGGGAAAGGAACCCTCACTACCCTCTCATGTAAGATCACCAATTAGAGAATCTATTCACCCCCTTACCTTATGATTATTGTTATCTTTTGATTCCTCTTCTCGTTCTACAAATTCCTCTTTGCCTCCATGTCTCCTTGTGCCCTAGCTTCTCTTTTGCTCTTCTCCCAATATCTCGATCGTACCAAATGATCGTACGATTCTCTTTTCCCTTAGTTATCACAAGGACCCCTAATATCTTCCTCAATTGCCATCACTTAGCATTATACCATTTACCATCATGCCTTCACTCTTTCTACTAATTACCATCTCGTCCTTATTTTCTCTACACTTCTATTATTCTATTATTCTAATTACTTAAATCCAACTAATTCCAATTAATCACTATTAAATCTAAATAATTCCAAAATAATTATTTAAATTCCAAAGCTTCTTACTAACTCATCCTACACCACACAAATCATCATCTTAAACACCTTATTCACCAAATCATCGTTATTTGCAT